AATTAAACAACATTAATTAGCAATGAAGTTGAGGAATGCTTTCCTTGGTTTTATTTTTTATTTTTTTGGCCATACTTGGTTTTATTAGTGGAAATGGAAAAATGAGAGAAATTGAAAACCAGATGAAAGAAGAGAAAAGTTTTATTTATTCTATTTAAATATATGAAATTTTTTATTTTTGAATTTTTATTTTTTTATTTAAGCATATGAATTTTTTTGTTTTATTTTTATTTAAACATATAAATTTTGCCTTATTCTGATTAAGATTGTCGTTTGTCATTATATCATCATTATCATATAATAGATTTTGAAATAGAAAAAATACAAAGTTTATATTTTTATGTAGAAAAAAAAAATTTACTACCTAATTTAGAAATTGAAAAAATTTATATCCCAAAAAATAGCAAAATTCCTATTTTTATTTAAATCTTTTCTCAACGAACGAAGTGGGAAAAAGACTATTTAGCTGGATATTTCCTGGAAAGGAGAAAATGATGGGAATTGGAATTGAAGGGAAAGAGTTTCTAGCTAGAAATTTCTTGGTCAAGACATAAAATCATAGTAAACGTCCAGAATATCACCTCCCATTATCCTTTTTTTATATATTTTTTTTCTCTATGGCTTTTACTTTTAGGTGAATTAAATAAAATATCATCGATCGCTTGCATCTTGCAACATGCATGCGCGGACAGACTTGGGAAACAAGGGAAGAAAAAATAATGAAAGTGTTATTATTCTGAGACGAAAATATATATATATATATATATATATATATTTGGAAGATTTTGGTTTGAGAACAAGTAGTGTTGAAGGTCTCGAATAGCCCCTTCAAAATTTGTTCAACATTCACCTTTAGAAAGAAAAAATCATCTAAAATATTGCTATGGTAGTTGTTTGTAATGTGGGAAAGAATTAGTAGAAAAATATTACAAATATCATACCAGGCTAGAAGTATGTAGCAAAATCTTTGTAACTCTGTGGGTTAAGTATGTTCGGTTGGATCTTCTTTTATAAATTATACTTTTTCTGTTTTAAAATAATTTTTGTTAATTTTATTTTAAATTAATTGTTATTTTTTATTTTTTATGATTGATAAATATTTTTTTATTTTAACTTTGTCATTATTTATTTATTTTAATTAATTATTTAATTAAAAAGAGTCTCTTGTTATCTTTTATTTTTTTTAAAAATATTATAAATAAATATAATTATTATTTTTAAATCTTAAATTTAAAAAAATAAAAAGTAAATAATTATTTTGAAATAAAAGTAATAGTATATATTTTATGGATTATTATGAGCCCATAGCATAACAATCTGAAGCTTCAAATCAAAATCGGGCTGCATTCTGCTAATTGTCTAAGTGGGCCTTTAAGCTGCTGTTTCATAAGTATCTCCCTTATAACTTATAAGCTTTAAATTTTCGGCCCATTGAAAAGTTAAACGGTAGATCAACATTGTGTGTGTGTGTGTGTGTGTGTTTTTTTTTTCTTTGACAAAACAAAATTTAACACGACTCTAGAGAAGTTTTTATTTTATTTTATTTCATTTTATTTTTTCTTTTAGACTGAACATAATTTGTTTTAAAATGTAAACAGTACGTTGATTTCAACTTATTTACAAAAGGAAGGAGTAAAGGTCCAAATAAGGACTTGAACTTTGTAAGTTTTTCTATTTAAAGATGTAAACTTTCTTAGTTTCTAAATAAGGCGGTTAACCTTTAATTTTTTTTCTAATTAAGGATGTCAACTTTGGTTTTTTTCTATTTAAGGATTAATTGATGGAACTGCTGACGTGGCAAACAAATTTTAAACGGATGTTTTAAACGAAATGCTGATGTGTATAGATATAATGTTAATTTGGTGATGTGTTTGCTGATTGGACAAAAAAATTAATTAAGAAAAAAACAAATCAAATTAGTGGGGCAATTTATTCAAACAAATCAGATCTGGAAATTGCTCATCTCTCATTTTTTTTCTTTTTCTGCGCTATTGCTCTCTCTTCTTCTTCTTCTCTGTTTTCATCTCAAATCATAAATGAAAAACAGATTTTTCTCTTTTTTTTTTTGCGCCACTGCTCTCTCTTCTTCTTCTTCTTCTCTGTTTTCATCTCAAATCACGAATGAAAAACAGATCTTTTTGAGTATTTTTTTTCTACGCCGCTACTCTCTCTTCTTCTTCTCTGTTTTCATCTCAGATTTGGTTTCAAATCACGAACGGAAAACACATCTCATGGGTTCGGAGACAAAAATGTCAAGCTGCAGTTCATCCTTTGCCCACTTGAGTGGTAGATCCGGTCGACTCTTATGGCCTGCCCTCTTTTTGATAAATGGTAAAATAGATGTTTAATTTTCCATTGGTGGGTTGCTTTCTTGACTTTTCTCGACTTTTTGCATCTGGGGTTTGTAATGGAATTTTCTCGATTTTTCTCCCTTTTTTGCTTCTGGGTTTTGATAAAAGGTTCTTGATCTTACTTGTTTTTTCTTTGTGCCAATTTGATGGTCCGTGAAAAATGGTATTTTAGGGATTTCAGGGGAAGAGGAAGTGCAAATTTTGTGTGTGGATTGTTAATCCGATGGAGCCTTATCTTTTGTTAATATACTGAATTCAGTGAAATAAAAAGGAAAGGTTGAATGAGCAGTTGATTAGTGAATTGAGGGCTAAATTGGATATTGAGAAAATGAAATTAAAAGAGCTTAATGATTGTATTGTTGAAAGTGCCAGTGAAGTGTGAGGTACAGGTAAGTGAACAAAAGTTGAAAAGTGCAGGGGAAAAGTTCGGCAGTGTTGTGGACAATTTCTAGATCTGATTTGTTTTCTTTTTGTAAATAGAAAATTTGTTTGAATAAATTGCCCCACTAATCTGATTTGTTTTTTTCTTAATTAATTTTTTTGTCCAATCAGCAAACACATCACCAAATTAACATTATATCTATACACATCAGCATTTCGTTTAAAACATCCGTTTAAAATTCGTTTGCCACGTCAGCATCTCCATCAATTAATCCTTAAATAGAAAAAAACCAAAGTTGACATCCTTAATTAGAAAAAAATTGAAAGTTAACCGCCTTATTTAGAAACTGAGAAAGTTTACATCCTTAAATAAAAAAACTTACAAAGTTCAAGTCCTTATTTGGACCTTTACTC